TCGAGATAATACCTCGGTAGACTCGGATAGTATGTCGACATGTATGGTTAGCATTTTGGCAACAGAAACACAACGTACGTGGTGTCAGCGTCAACCAAACCGCTGCAAGACACGTGGATGAGCGTTCGTGTTGAAGGTGCTGATGGCTGCACATTTGTCGAATCGACCTTATGTATGTTGTACGCTATTTATATACGTAAGCCTCATTTGTAATAAATACCATGTAAGAAAAGAAACTGGCGTGGCTCAGTGGTAGAATACTGTGCTGGCACGCAGCGGACGCGGTTCGAATCCCATTGTGACCTTGTTGTTCTTTATTTACTGAGTTTTTTTTATTTCTTGTGATACTGCTTACGGACACAGGCGGCGGCGGCGGACAACTACGGCGCCGCACGTGACCCGTGTTCTCATATCATAACAGCTTTCGCTGCAAAACATAAGTAAGTCGCGGAATCAAATCACATACACCTCGATTATTAATGAGAATACCCATTGAATGCGGTAGCTTTTTGTTACGCGTGTAATGAATATTTGTTAGTCACGCAGGCACGTCTATTACTGCACGCTGTTGTGGAATACGTAGAAAAGTAACGACTCAGCTTTCCAAAGAGTATAGATGAACAATATCGGGAGTTTTACGTCCCAAAACAACCATTTGTATATGACAGACTCCGTGTAGAAGCTCCGTGTAGAATTTTCCGGAGGGCTCCGGAAAATTCCCCCATCTGGAGTTTTTTTAACGTGCACTGACGACATCCCACAGTGAACACGGGCCTCCAGAATTTCACCTCCATCGAAATGGGGCTACCATTACATGGATCGAACCCGCGACCTTCGGGTCAGCAGCCGAGCATAACCGCTCTTCCACCGCGGCGGACAAAAGTATGGAGCTCTAAAGAAGACCATGATGGTCAAAATTTTCATAGTCCTCCACTATACGGTGGCCGCATATTGATTTCGTGGTTTTGGTACGCAAACGCAATATTATTAAAATGCGAAGCATTTCTTAGCGAACTTCGAGCGTATCTATCTATCTATCTATCTATCTATCTATCTATCTATCTATCTATCTATCTATCTATCTATCTATCTATCTATCTATCTATCTATCTATCCGCTTGCGACATTTAGGTCTCCTGGTCGTTTCGATAATTGGATCGATACCAAAATTTGTGAAGCATTACATGACAGTATGACAAGCATATGACAATATGTGACTAGTCATAACATGAAAATCATGACATGTAAGTCATGAATGTCATGATTTACATTTCATGGTCTTGCTGCTCTTGCGGTGGTTTCGTTCACATGACATATCGCAAAACTGGTATGGTATGACATGACTACATGACGAACGTAACTGACAGACTCTAACGTGAAAATCATGAAACACATGTCATGTAAGTCATGACTACACACCACACTCATAGTGCACTCGCGGTCCTTTCACTAGCTTCACATGTACCAAGTTTGGTATTACGTGACGTGAATGGATCTTGAAGATATATGACTGGTGCAAACACGATAATCTCTACATACGTGTCACGTAAAACTTGACTACATGCTAGACTCATGGCCCGCTCGTGGCCGTTTCGCTAGCTCCACACATACCCAATTCGGTATCGATCACGTAACGTGAACAGACGACCAAGGTAAATGACACGTCCAAACATGATGATCACGATATCCATGACATGTAAAACATGACTATATGATACGATCATAGAGTGCTCGCGGCCGTTTCGCTAGCTCCGCACGCACCAAATTTGGTATTACGTTATGTCAATGAACTACGAAGGTAAATGACACGTCCAAACGTGACAATCATGACATGCGTGTCATGTAAAACACGACTACATGCTACACTCACATAGCACGCTCGCGACCGTTTCACTAGCTCCAAATATAACAAATTTGGTATTATGCGACGGGAATTGACGACGAGGGTAAATGACACGTATAAACATGATAATCATGAGATTATATTAATGCACGGCATAATTTCTGGAGTGGTAGAAATTTCCGGAGCCCTCCCCGGCGGCGTCTCTCACAATCATATGGTGGTTTTGCGACGTTAAACCCCACATATCAATCAATCAAATCACCTCGTAACGTTATGTTGATTTTAAAGTGAGATATTAACCTAAGACACGTGTGTGCGCTGTGATAGGTTGTTGATCTCGATGTCCAAGTGCCGTTTTTGTGCATTGCTCCCTTTGGAGATACGGGAGCCATATGCAGGGCTTGTAAGGCGACGACAACAGAGGAGCGCGCTCATCTCTCGTTATCCTTTCAGGAGCTTATAACATTGCCGACCATTTCTGCGCTTAGTATGGTAAAACGCCTCGGAAATAGAAAGAACGATATAACATTGCGTCAATGAAACAGAAATGAAGCTAATAAACAAATTAGTGGTTTTCCTCACTTTCAGCCGGCCTATATAGTCGCTGTATTCTATGTCGGGAAACGTACAGGTTTCTAAGGTTTTTAAACGCCAACCTACGCGTGACCGGTTATTGATAATAAGTGAAAGTGGGTGACTAAAATCAAGTGAGGACATACAGTACAAGCTCTAGGACGGATGCCTATTCTGTTGTTCGCATATTTTCTTTTTTTTTTTTGACCTAGAGTAACTTACGCCACCGAGTTTCCACGAAAATGAATCACCAGCATCCAGCTCCAACTGAGATTCTGTTCGAACAGATTATTATAGCCTCATGGGTAGTTTCAAGCCAGGCCTCCTAAATCCTGTAATCGACGCTGCTCTAATAAATGGAGTGGCGTTTGTGAGAAGATGCTATCATTTACTTGCGTGCTCTACTATTACAATCTAATCATTGTTATTCCTCAAATTTATTATTGTAACAATAATGGCGACAAGAAAAAGACACGGACGATACGAGCACTCACTTTCAACAAAAGATTTATTGAGGCTATCGTCTGTTTAAATAATCAAGGTCACAGGCAGACCACTGAGAATGTCAAGAGTCAGGTGAACAAATCAGTGGTCACCCTCTAGTCTTATCTATAACGATAGTTTTGCGATATAGTCTTGAATTATTACATCTGACTTCTGCGAGACTTCTACACCGCAGCTAAGCCCTCGATTTCTACATGGTGTTTGGCTCTGTCTTTTTCTCGCCTCACCGTACTAGGAATAAGCAATAAATCATAGTTTCTATATACAGCATGCTTTCAGAAAGAACGGTGACACCACGGGTACTGTTTACCATTATCCCTGCGGTGCGTACCACATCAACGTGAACAATTAAATGGAGTGCAAATTTAGAAAAATGAAAAATGGTCAATACTTGATCAAGAAATGGCATCACGTAGCATAACGTGGCTCGGTGTGTCGTTCAAGAATTAAAAGAGGAGTCTATAACGCTATCAACTTACTGTATATGTCTTATTTTTTTTTTCGTTTATCAAAATGCATTATATACTCGGCGACAACTTTTATTGGCACTGAAGGGAAAGCTATGGAGGCGGAGCTTCTGCACATGTAGCACTACGTTAAGTAATTCGTTTTGGCGCGCGTCTTGTAACACTGTGGAAAGTGACGGGGGTGCACTATCGGCGTTTCATGTATACGCAGACGCCGATTAGCGTTTGAGGTGCATGTAAAAAGGCTAGACTTTCTCGCACGTTCAGAAATGCGAAGTCACTACGAATAAATTAAAGTAAATACGATTATCCTTATGGTGGGAGCTGCGTCCTGTCTCAAATATCTCACGTAGATAATGAAGGGGGAACTTCTATACTTCATGGTGAAATTACGGGCGCTGTTGTGGAAGTACATTCTGTAGTGTTGCTCTCTTTCTTTTTTCACCGTTTTTTAAACCACCGTTTTCCCTATGTAGGGTAGCATACCAATCTTTCTAGACTGCTTAACATTCCAGTCTTTGCTTTCTTTTCTGTTCCTTCTTTTCTTCACTTCACCGTAGCGGTAAGGCACCCATTCAAGAAACTGGCGTAATTAGCTCAGCGAAGCGATCAAAATAAGATGCTGGACTGCGTTTGATCATAAATTCTTCCGAAATTCTAGCATGCCGAATCAAGACAGTGAAGGTGGACAAGTAGTCATCGAGCGTAACGTCGGCTGCTGAAACAATTTCAAGAAGGAACAATTAAAACGACCATGAAACTTATATTATTGTTGCACGAAGTTGAATGACGCCCTCCAATTTAAAGACACGCTCAGCACACCATTTAACTTAGAGCTTATTTAAATAAAGTAGATAAAACCCGTAGTTTGTCTTTTCTTCAGTATTTTTGCTTATTTATGGAGACGCGCGTGAAAAAAGCAGTATTGCATTTTTTTACCCTAATGAGAGTATTGTCTGAAGTTTCACACAGTTAATTATGCCCCTCCGGCATCTTCTCAAATCAATATTGGAGCCACCAACTTCTCTCTACCGTCTTCTTTTTTAACGCTTTAATGCTTTGTTTTATTTTTTAATGTATTGTGTATTACGTTGCCACATTGGTCACTGCCATTTTGGCAGCAGCGGCACGACCAGCGAGCACACGCCTAAGATTTCGCTTCATATTTTTCAGCCGCAACAGGAGAAGACGCTGTGACTGAAAGCACCGCGGATCCGGGCCGGCGCACTTCGGTACTCGTGCTGGCATCATTCTTTCATCGAAAAGAGAGGCACAACGAAAGATTGCGCTGTTGACGTCACCGGCTGCCACAGCGACGCTACTCGGACACGGCCAACGAATTTTCTACGAGGGGCGTGAACCATCATTTGGCAGCAGCGGCACGACCAGCGGGCACACGCCTAAAATTTCGCTTCATATTTTTCAGGTTGGTGAATATCTTTTTATGCCATCGCTCTGCTCTCCGCCGCTGCTGCCAAGTGTTGGTGTGTAGTTGTAGTGTGAAACTGCAGTGACATGTCACAATTACGTTGTTGTTCATGTCGTCTTGAACCAGAAGACGGATGCCCGCTTCTGGTTTGTTCAGAATGTAAATTCTCATTCCACCTAGGTGCATGCTCAGGCGTTTCGGAAGAAGCGTGCAAAAAAAAACGGGGGGAAAAACATGGAAGTGTGATAAGTGCAAGACTGGTGGCCAGAAATCTGAGACTGATGTGGAAGGGGTGTCAACTGATAGCATAGTAGCACAGCAACTCCACTCACTTGAACTTAAGATTGATGCACTCCTAGCTTTGCCAAGCAAGCTCCAATCAATGGAAACAGCTGTGCAGCTTCTGTCGAACAAATTTGATGAATTCAGTGAACGACTGCACGCCCAAGAAACAGCTACGAAAGATTTGTCGAAGAGAGTCGATAAGCTAGAGAAAAGCAAGGTAGATAAAGATGTGGCTTTGATGGCACAAGATTTAGACAAGCTAGAATATCGTAGCCGACCCATGAACCTAGAAATACATGGCATTAGGGAAACTGAGGGTGAGGATCTTGTGGCAAAAGTGAATGAAATTGCGAAACAAATATCACTTCCCTCCCTGACCCGCAGTGATCTTGAAACCATCCATCGGCTACCCGCTAAGCCAGGAAAGACTCGTGGCATTGTTGTGCGCTTCATGAATCAGGAAACAAGGGACAACTGGCTCTCAAAGCGGCGACAGCTAAAAAGCGAAAACAGTAACACATACATTTGTGAGAACATGACTCGACAGGCGCGAAAACTGCTCACTATGACCAAAGAATGGGCTAGGAAAACGGGTTTTGCATTCATGTGGCATGCCAACGGTAAGGTGCTAGTGAGGCGAGCGAATGGCGAAAGAGCAGTGGTCATTCGGGGAAGCGAGGACATGATATGTTTATCATGATTGATTTGATTGATTGATTTGTGGGGTTTAACGTCCTAAAACCACCATTTGATTATGAGAGACGCCGTAGTGGAGGGCTCCGGAAATTTTGACCACCTGGGGTTCTTTAACGTGCACCCAAATCTGAGTACACGGGCCTACAACATTTCCGCCTCCATCGGAAATGCAGCCGCCGCAGCCAGGAATCGAACCCGCGACCTGCGGGTCAGCAGCCGAGTACCTTAGCCACTAGACCACCGCGGCTGGGCATACGTTTATCATGAAGAGTGGTAACAGTTGTGTATTTCTCGGGTGATCCAGTCCCAAGATGTCGTACTCACCATCCGAATACCTACGCGATCTTCCAACCTTAAGAAGCGGCTCTGCGCTCTCAGTTTTTCATTTAAGTGCCAGAAGTTTAAGAAAGAATTTTGATGAGATAAGCATGTTGTTGTCGGAAACTAATTATCCATTTGATATAATTTGCTTTACTGAGACATGGTTGTCATCAGATGATGATTGTATTTTGATTGATGGTTATGAGTGCATTTCTGCATATCGATTACGAAAGCGTGGTGGTGGTGTCTGTGTGTATGTCCGTGCAAACCTCCCATATAGAATTGTTGCCGAGTTTAAGGTCGTAGGTGATAGCTATGAGTGTATAATGTTAGAATGTTCTAATGTGTTATTTTCTGTGATTTATCGCCCTCCTACTGGTTCAATAAAAAGCTTTTTGAATTTCATTGAGAAATCACTGGAGAGATCTCTAGATTCTCGCTTACAGACTGTCTTGGTAGGTGACTTCAACATCAATGTGTCACTAGATAACCCCAGCTACGTACGCCTAAATGAACTAATCGAAGGATATGGTTGTATGAATGTAATTAGCACCCCAACAAGAATAACCGCCACATCGGAAACAACGTTAGACCTATGTATTACAAGTTTCGATACTACTGATGTCAAAGCCGGCGCAATTACTACCGACATTAGCGACCATTTTACAACATACTGCTTCCTACCAGGCAATCGTGTAATCAAAAGTTAGGATGAAATGCTCTTTAGGAGTTATTCTAGCCGCAATATTAAACTTTTTGAGAACCTTATCTCTGGAATTGACTGGAGCACGGTTACAGAAGAAAGAGATCCTAATAAATCATACAACATATTTTCAAAACACTTGACATCTTTATATGACACGTGCTTCCCTCTTAAGCCCTACAAAAAACACAGAAACTGCAGAAAACCATGGGTGATAGTGGAACTATACAACAGAATTAAAGTCAAAAACAACCTTTTTCAAGTTTTCCTATCTTCCAGGGACGAAAACGATTTACGTAATTTCAAAAAATTTCGTAATACACTGAACAAAGATTTGAAGAAAGCCAAGACGGAATACTACATTAGTAAATTTACCACTCATTCAGGAGACGTGCGCCTGCTGTGGGACACAATAAATCAGCTCATTAACAAAAAGGAGATATTCAGACGAATAAAATTTGAAAAACTGGGCATGAGTAAATTAGAAATCGCTGACACCTTTAACAAATACTTTTTAACAGTTGGTGAGTCTACCACAGACAGCACGGAAACGTGTTGCGAGAACTATATAGCATCAAATTACCCGTCTAGTGTATTCCTGTTTCCTACTTGTCAACAAGAAGTGGTAAAGCTAATCACGTCTATAAAGGATAACTGTGCTTGCGGCCCAGATGACATTAAGCCAAAGCCTTTAAAGGCTATAAGTCACATTATCGCTACACCACTAACGCACATTTATAACTTGATGTTATCTTCAGGTGTTTTTCCCGATCAAATGAAACTTGCGAAAGTAACTGTCATCCATAAAGGTGGGTCATTTGATGAGCTTAACAATTACAGACCTATATCTGTACTCTCTGTGTTCGCGAAAATGGCTGAACGAGTTATATATAAGAGGATTACGGGCTTTCTAAACGCAAACAATATAATAGCAAAAGACCAGTATGGATTTTGCAAAAACAAGTCTGCTGAGTCGGCTCTACTCAGCATCAAAGAATACATTCTAGACAACATTGAAAACAAAATCTTTACACTAGGAATCTTTCTGGATTTTAGAAAGGCATTCGACAGTATACAACACGATCTACTTTTACGAAAACTACTTTATTATGGCATTCGGGGTACCACAGCCCAATTAATACAAAGTTATCTCTCGTCTAGAAAACAATATACCGTTGTAAATAATACACACTCTCAAGTTGAACACATTAAGTATGGTGTCCCCCAGGGATCAATTCTTGGACCAATCCTATTCCTGCTGTTCATTAATGATATCGTAAATATCGATGGACACAAGAAAATAATATTGTATGCTGATGACACAAACGTTTTTTTTTCGCAGGTTCAAACGTATGTGAACTATATAAAGAAGCTAACGTTTGGATGGAGAAACTAAATTCATGGTTAAATGCAAATAAACTTCAATTGAATATCGCTAAAACAAAGTACATGTTTTTCAAGCCTAAAGGAGTAGCTCACATACCATGCACTCCAATTTACTTCCAGAGCACAGAGATTCAGCGCACAACAACAATAAAATTTCTAGGAGTTCTATTCCAAGAACAACTTTCTTGGTCTCCTCACATTGACGTGATAAAAAAAGATCTTTCCAGGAGAATCGGCATTTTAAATAGACTGAGGTACTACGTCCCATCAAATGTCAAGCTGCAAATTTACTACGCACTTGTACATTCACGACTAGCATACTGCTCCTTGGTGTGGCTAACGACGACCACTACAAACCTTAATTCTCTGTTGATATTACAAAAGCGTGCTATACGTGCTATATCTAACACTCCCCTTTACGAAAGTGCTCGACCATATTTTAAAATGTACAAAGTATTACCTATAAAACTGTTATACAGACATAAGCTATGTCTAGAGATATTACACCAGTATAAACTAAATACATTACTATTCTTGGACACATATTATGTGAAACAAACACCATACGAGCTGAAAAAGAGCCTAATATACAAATATAGATTACGCACGAACTACGGTGACCAACGATTAGCGTCACAAATTCCAAACATTCTAAACAAACACCCAACTATATTACATTTACTGGAAGACGGAATTTCAGCTAGATCATTTAAAAAATAACGAAAGAGTTCCTAATGGATGAAAGCGATGCTTGTCTTGATTATTTAAATTTGTAGTTAATGATGTTTTTGTATTCGTTGCACCTTGTTCATTATTGTTCCTTGCCTGTTGTTTATTATACTCTAATTTTTCTTGTAGAGCAACTCGATTTCCTACTCAAGATGTTTCTTGTTAATTTATTTGATAGAGGGCATGCATTTGTTTGTGTTTGCCACCACTCGAATGAAGACTGTTTGTATTTATGTTCTTTTGTTCACACTTCTGGCGGTTCCTGTTTGATTATGGTGCCCGTGTAAGATAACACGTGATGTTATAATTTTCTGAGTGCTGTGCTTGTGGTGTGTTTCTGCTTTGCTGCCAGGGTGGCACGACCTAGTCAGGCTTTTACTTAGCCTTTAGTCGTGTCCCCCAAGGCAATCTTGTTCAATTTTGCCTTGAATAAAAGCAAACCAAACCAAACCAAACCAAATTAGAAGCAGACAATCTCCTTTTGTATGTTTGTCATCACTTTTCACATAAAATGAATAACATTGTCAAAGGGGGTCTTGCTTATATTTAGGTGACTTTCAGATCAAGATATATAATTGTCGAAGCCGGGGTACTAAAGACAATAGGTCCATTCGCTTTGGGAAAAGACTTCGGTAATGCGTGGTCTTTCTGTTATTTTGCCGTGGATGGTTCGAAGACGACACCATATACGAGCGCACTGTACATTCCAGATGACCGGGCGCACGTATTCAAGTCCATTGGGCCGCCGGGAAGAATTGAAACACAGTCTCATTTCCATGCGGACTGAAGGAAACCAATTAAAATTTCTCTTTTCTTTTCTACCACCCTCTTTTATCTCTCCATAACGCACGTATGCAGTCAGGATCCTTAACAAGAAGGCCTCCAGAACTGTATATGGCGTATTGCAAATATTTCGTATGCACATATTTGTCGTTGCCCGTTAACTTCATTTCCCATATAGGCTGGCGAGTACGAGACGTTGTATTGTCAGTGTGTGCACAGCATATAGCTCGCATGGCGAACCTGCATAAGTTATTGTGTACGGAAGGTGGGAATTGTTTGCAGTAGATAACGACGTATGTGTTTTGTGACACGCGTGTGATCGCGTGTTTTTTAGTGCACGTAAATGTTTCGCGTTATCCATATATTTTTACTGAATGCTTGGAGTGTAGTTCCATCGGGTAAGCAGATATTTCCAGCTGCGGTTTTTCAGTTAAAACACCATTGAGCGTTCAACTCTAGCGCTTACGTCTACGCCTATCTTTATTTGTTTTATCATATTTGCACGTTACTTGTATATTATTTATTTCTGTTTCATTCGTCTTTGTTTTAGATGCGTGCTGCCATAAGCTGCCACGAACCAACTCACACACCAGCACGTCTTATCTATCTATCTATCTATCTATCTATCTATCTATCTATCTATCTATCTATCTATCTATCTATCGATCTATCTATCTATCTATCTATCTATCTATCGATCTATCTATCTATCTATCTATCGAAAAATAAGCATTGTTCAACGTGGTTTCACACTTACATTAAGTTTTAGTTGAAGTTACATATTGGTTGCAGTATATAGTATGCGAAATAAGTATGTGTGTACGTTTGCACATATTTACTTTTATTTATCTATTTTTAGCTCTCTATTTTCCTCTCCTTTTCCTGGCGCACACTTCAATTACCGAACCACACTGCTGTGCAGCCAACAAGTTATTTTGCAGAAGAGGGTCGACCAGTCTCCGATGAAGCCTGTGATTGAGTCATTTCCATAGAGAACAAAAATGACCTCGAATAGACTGTTTGAATAGAATAGAGTTTCTAATGCACACGCTATCTCGACCCAACCCACGATCTGTATTTGC